CCTGTTCCTCTGATGCTGCTTGGCCTGCTATGTTCCTCCAGCTCCACACTGTGTTGTTTCTGTTTCTATCTGGTGTTTTCTATTTAATTCTATGCATCTGATTCCAGTATGGTGAACTTAGAATGGAATAAAAACGAATTTTATTTTGAGGAAATATCAGTGGGATTTCTTTTAACACTGTAATGCAGGTTGATATTGGAAAGTGTGCCATTATATTTGCAGATGCATTGAAGCAGAATAGAGGTCAGGGCTGTGTGTTAGTAAAACATACTGTTCCCTGCTTAATCCACCTCTGAAAAAAAGACTTAAAGACAGATCACATATCAGATGCCTGTTGATAAGATTTCATGTTTAATTTTAATGTACTAACTGAGAAAAGTACACAATGGAGGAAAATTATAGCTTTAACTCAGTCCATAGTAGACTTTTATTACGAGATCACATCAATTATGTTGTTTATGAGCCATTCAATAAAAAACACATAAAATTCCAGCTTTAGGATTGTTTTTGTTTAGATCCCCAGGACATGGTTTATGGCTGCTAATATTTGTGTTTATCTCTTCAATTCTTTTTAACAAAAATTGAGTTTTTACAGTTCGTAAAGACTTGTGACATTGTGCGAAAAGTATTTGCTTTTAACATTTAATGAATAGTCCTTCTTGCTATGGGCACAGTACATCACAACTTAGATAGTCCACTATCACTCAGCTGCTACAGGTTTCTTTACTGTTGCTGGATCAAAATCCTGGAACTCCCTCCATATGCCAACACCGCTTGGACTGCAGTGATTCACCACAACCTTCTCAAGAGCAATCAGAGATGTGCAATAAATGTAGACCTAGCCAGTGATGCTCACATCCCACAAACGAATAAAAATAAGCTAGTTGTGGAAGTGAGCCACGATGATAAGGTTTCAGTGATGAGTAAGTGAGTGAGTATGCATCTCAGTGATGTACACTCCTTTCATTTATATGGCGAGTCTGAATCCATTAATGACAATTTCTCTCCCCAGTGTAAATTACAATAGTCTCAGAAGCACTGACTCAATTCTCAATGGGAGAGATTTTTAGAGGTGATTTCACAGCCTTGCATTCCCCAGTTAGAGGATGCGACCACAGTCATCATGGCTGGAAAAACTGGGTCCACACTGTCACCACCTACATCACTGAATTGTGAGGGTGGCTTCTCCATTAACATTTCAATAGCATAAGGACATCTATTGTTACCTCTAACACATTGTGAACTTACAAGAGTAAAAAATTTTTGCCCTACAAAGTTAACACAGCCAGCTAATAACTGACAGTCTTTACAGACTATAGTTGAGATCTATCATTGAACTTGATGAAAGATAGAACTGCGATTCTACATCTTGTATTAAAATTTAATTCTGATGGATTGGCACTGATGAGTGGAACAACAAAAGTTCATTCCATTCATCAGAACTTTACATAAAATATTCAGATACAGACATACATCAAATTGAGGAGGGGGATTCTGTTCCCCTCTTTTTAATCTCCTCTTGGTTGGTTTCAGCAATATTTTACTTATATCACAAAATATGGTTGTTGGCCTACCAAAATAATAGCAGATGGGATTATAGGACCAGTGAAGATAGGTTAGCAGCACCCAATCGTAGAAAATCCCTTGTCCAGTTTAGCAATAGGATGTCAAGGAAAGGAAGCCCAGTGTACTACTCCATTTCAAAGGTGGATCTCAGCACAGGATGGAGACCATGAATACATGCAAGGGAATTTTTACAAGCAGCTGTAGGTTTAAGAATTGCAAATGTATCATCTAAAAGACGTTTTTTCAGCAATACTCAAGTTCTGAACTACCAGACAAGTACATAATAACTATGGCATTTGCCACACTCTCAAACACCGAAAATAAATTTTTAAAGGGACAAAATCTGGTACGGACAAGAAGAATAAAGGTTTTGCAATTTTGAAGTCATTAAAGTTCTTGAGTTCTTGAGATTGTTAACCTGAGACAGTGGTAATTTCATTGTTGACTTGCATCCTCAACGGTGACAAAGTTTTAAATATCTTTGAATTTGGAGTAAAATGTTCTTTTCCTAGTTTTCTTTATTCACTGGGCACTATCTTCAAGTTGATGAAGAGAAATCAGCTAGAGACAGTGAGACTTCTAGGTTCTGTAGCTCTGAGTCCATCATTCCTTCTCTTTGCTCTGCTGCTCATAAGCAGGTCATAGAATGTAATTCAATGTGTACTCCTGATATGACTTCATTGTTTTTCCAAGTTAGATAACTTTTAAGCGAGCCTATCATCTCCCAATTGTATGACACTAACACACAAGTTTACATTTACTACAATTATAGCACATCAGATAGCTAGATCAAAATACCAAACTGAATCAAAAAGATTGTAGGACATGGTAGCCATGTCTGTCAACAAGTACAAGGCAGGTTCAGATTTGACATCAGGAGCACTTCCACATGTTAAAAGAGATTAGTACTTGAAAAGGTTCACCCACAGGCAGCATACAGGGGCAAAACCCATGGGGTCATTCAAGTGGAGGTTACATAATATTATTAAGGAAGTTACATGCTACTCTGGATGGGGCTGTGCGTATTTCTCATTCATACTTATCTTTATATGTTCTAATTTTCATGAGCACATTACATTGCTGTTTAAATTTCCAATTTAAAATAGAAATCTTCACATTCTAGTTACTCTCAAATTAGCATTATGAATGTATTTATTACATTGATTGGTAATTGATGTTACATGAGTAATCTGTTTTCTACAAATTGTTGATCACTAATCAGGCATGTACAGTGTTCAGTTCAGTGATAACTTTGTGTTTGACCATTTATTTGTTCAAATAATGGAAGATGTTTCAAAATGTATATTTGTTTTCAATTGCCACAACTTTGAAGTCAATCCATTTTAGTGAATGCAAAGCCAAGTGATGTAGTACAGAAAGTGATGGCAGTTTGGCCTGTGAACATGACAAATAGGTCATCAGAATAGCACATATTCACTTTGCAGAAAGCAGCCTGTCGATTACAATGAATGAATGCAGTGACTGTGGACAGCAAGTAGTTCAGAATTTCTCTTTACAGAACTTTATACGAACGCAATCAATTGCGAGTGAAATTGTGAAAGACAAAAAGAAATGAAGCTATTTCAATTTAACTCGCCTTGGGTGTCTGAAGGCAACCAGTAAGTGTCTCTGTTATCTCAATGCCCTTGAGATTACTAAAAGCAAACGAGTCCTACTTATAACATTGACTTTTGTAATTGCCTCGTCTTATGTTATTCCAGATGCAATCCATGTCATTTTTCTGTCTCTGCCTCTAATCCATGCCTGTATTTTCACATAACCACCTCTCCACTATTTCAGTGATAACCTTGGAACTTGCTACAGAGCTGTTCAAGGTTATTTGGCAGCCAGGGTATAAAAGATCTATCAGGGTCCTGTTTCTTGAACATAAACAGTGATACTCCTTGCAGTGCTGTTGACAAGGGTGCTACTGTCTTTACAGAGCGATGGCGTTCAGTTCTCACTCTGCCCTTCAACGAAAATGTCATTGTGAAAAGGATAAAATGAATCAAGGCAGCATCCTTTACCACATCTTAAACCACAAGAGACATCAACATCTACCCACCTGCAGCTGCAAGCACGAATCCAAACAGAAGGTAGCACTGGGCTCGCCTTATGTTGCCTATAAGGCTGCTTCTGAAGTTCTGCTGAAGACAGTGAACTTTATTAAAAACCTGCCCTCTTTTCGGGGTCTGCTGCAGCCAGACCAGCTGCTGTTGCTGGAGAACTGCTGGGCTGCCCTTTTCATGCTGGGCTTGGCTCAGGAAGGTGTGGATTTTGAAGTGATTGAACCATCAAAGACAAGCATCCTGAAAGAAATTCTAACTAACCAGAAAGGAAAAGGCACCGATGAGAAAACGAGCTCTGAGCCGTCTGCTGCAGAAGTACAGAAAGTGAAATCATTCCTCACCAAGTGCTGGAGCATAGATATCAGCACTAAGGAGTATGTGTACTTGAAGGGAATAGTTTTATTCAGCCCAGGTGAGCTGTCCCACAGAAGTCTCCTGACCCAAAGCTTTGGTTTTATTTTTAGTGAACCCAGGTAAAAATGCTTGAAATTGCTGTTGAAGTGTTAACGTTATTCCTGAAATATGAATTTTGCCATTTGTGTCATTGATTGTAGAGGACAACAAATTCATTCGCAGTTAAAGTGGCCATTCTGTGAAGAAGAAAACAAAATTGTCTGGCACTGGAAGGTTCAAAATTTGTAACAAGTTGACAATCGCAAACTTTCAAGGAAGATGGGTTTGTGTTACAGTTAAATGGAAGTTAGTGAATCCAAGTTAGGAGAGCGAGCTGAATAGGAAAAGTCAGGGAGAGGAGAGGGTGAGAGAAGTCAGCTTTCATTTAACTTTTATCTTAGGAATTGTTTAACCTCTGTGACGAAATCGCTCGGCAGATTTTCCTGTCCTCCTTTACCTTTTAAGGAATTAAAAATTGATGCAGGTCTTCATGACTGCTGATTGAAATTTCAAATGATAGAAGTGCATTCAAACACATTTCAAAGAAGTACAATGACTGGACTACCATCTCATACCAAAGTAACTGTTTTGTAATGCTATACTGGAAACTATCACGAGCACTATAGTTACAAATTACAATTGTTACTAGAAATGTTTGCTTTAAATTTTGTACGCGGGACAGGGGTTTTTGCTTCAATGACAGTTCTGATCAACAGTATGTTGTGAAATTTGCTTGATAAGGAACAAAAGTGTTTAACCTTGACGAGAAATGGTGGCCTTCAGAATTGATTGGCACCTTAGAAGGTTCAGAAACATGCTAGTGTCAGTGTTTTCAGCAAAGGCTATATGCAAAATCATGCCTGGCAGCTCACATATCAGATTGCACTATATCCAGTAAAGAGCCAATATATTTCAACACTTTGAACGTCCCAAAGGTTGCCTGAGGAGATTAACAACAAGTTAACGTGAGTGAAATCAACATCAGACCTTGATGCTAAATAACACAGTTTGTTCTGTGTTGAGTTTAACTGATGTCCTGTGCGTGATGGGGTAGGTCAGTAGCAGTTAGTTTCATGAGAGTACTCTCTGGTGACATTACAGTCATAAATTTGTGCATGAATGGAGGAATGTGCAAGATCAAAGCTCACTGCAACCCAACTGGTCAGCCCCAAAGACGTGTGATAACTTGGGACGTTTTTAGAGGGGATGAGGCACTTTTGAAAAGGAGTGGGCTAATTAGTTCCTTAGGCCTTCTCCATTGTTCAAGGAGATTTGCGTGCAAAACTTTTTGTATATCCTTTGAAATCCTTAACCAAAAGACTCAGCCTTGAAATCTTCAATTACCCTCCAACATTTACAGCCTTTAGACAGAGAGAGGTCCGGATATCCCTTATATTTCTATGAAAAAATGTTTCTTCCAGAGATAATTTGACTATTCTTTCCTAAAAGCACTTGGGGAATGTATCGAGTCCTGTTGAACATAAGAGTTTGCAGTCACATAGTCTGAGGGACATTTGCATCAACATTGGATAGGAATATAGAGCTTTTTGTAGGTGAAATGATTTACCTTAACAAATGTGCCCCATTTGGTACATCTCAGCCCTGCATTCCTGCCTTTCTCACCAGGTTTCTTATTCATTTCTATCTCCAGAAACACATTTGTCTCTAAAATCCATCTCTAATATATCATTGACTGCTTGATGGTCACCCATTCCCTCTCTCCCTACATTCCCTTCAATTCAGATTGACCACATTCTTAAATGTGCTTTCTACAAAACACTGCATTGATGTACTGCAGTGATTCCCCGGTGCTATTAAAATGCAGAAACCCAGAGACTCAGCTTTAAAATGAAGACACAAAATGCTGGAGAAATTCAGCATATCTGGCAGCCTCTGTGGAGAGAGAAACAACATGAATGGTTCAAGTCCAATTTCAGAACAACTCACCTTCATCCTTCTCCCTTCTTCTCCATCTTTAAAATATTGGTTATTCAACAACTGTTGTTATAGTAGTGCAGATAAAAACACATTTAGCAGTCAGTCATGCAGAAGAGAAAAAGCAGATTATCATTTTGGATGGAGATTCTTAATAATACATATACACTGCTGAATGCATCCTTGCTAATATTCTGAATTCTTACTGTGTCAACCAAAGCAAAACTGATCTACTTCTTATGTTCAAGTATATACCAGTGGACGTGGTGGAAGGAGGCACATAAGCAACATTTAAGGCATACCTTGTTAGTCACGTGAATGTGAGGGGAACAGAGGGATAGAAAGGAGGGATAGAAAGGAGGGATAGAAACCGCATATGGGCACTAAGGATTAGGAATTGGCATAGGCTTCGTGGGCCAAAGGGCCTGTTCCTGTGCTGTATTGTATTGTATAATTAATTGTATACTCAGGCATAGATTGGTGGATAGGACTGATGTAAATGTTCTTGTTTGTTATTGGATTTCCTCTGAAATAGCGTGAATCAAGAGCACTTTGTAATATTTGAGTGTAAGGATAATTGTTGGCTTGTCTCTTTAAAGCCACCCTTCAGGGCAGTAGTGTAAATAGGCTGAACCTGAAAGGGGAAGGTTTGTTTACAAATGTCTGATTTCATGAGGAAAGGGCCGGCATTAAGACTTCCTTTATAATTTTTGTTAATAATTCTCACAAATTAAAACTAAGCAAAGCGTGGCATCATATGTGTGACAAATGAACACAAAGTATGGAGCTTTTGATGTGTTCATGTGGGTTACTGGTAATAGGTATAACAGAAACAAACAACTAGTAAAACAGTCATTGTGAACCAAGCAAGTAACTGCATGGCAGTTTGGCACATGGGAGGAAGGCTACATAATTGGTATTGTTGAAGTGACTCACAAATGCCAGCCTACTAGCAGGCACTTATATCAGTGTTGGAGAGGCGTCAGGAATGCCACTTGCCTGTGGGTCAGTTATAGATCTTAATTTGCCAATTAGTGGCCACTTAAGAGACCTGATGCCACTTCTGCTGGTATTTTGTTTGGGGTGGTGAAGCCAGCACCAAGAACCCAGTTCACCAGATGGACTGAAGGCCAGGCTGAGGAGTGGTGCCTCCTTTACCGGATCCCTGAGTCCAACTGCAGTTTCTTCTGCCTGCCATATCCCCAAAGCATCCCCTTTACGTTTACCCTGCCCTGACCCACAACCTGTTGGCTCTGCCAGTTTAACTTTGATTCTGTCTCCATTAGAACACTCTTCCTTCTGTGACTTGCTGCAGTTCCAGTAATGAGCACTATGCCCACTGGGTGCCAGAGAGGTGATGGCTGTTAAATGGCTGGGAGGCTAGTCTATCAAGGTAGGGCGAGATCACCTTTGGCTATTATTTCAGCTCCCTTCAAATGTGATGCTAAGGTAAGTAATCAATAGTTCAGTATGAGTCTAAGTGAATGAAGTCAGCTCTGAAGAAAATGCTCTTATTCACTTCATAAAGCACCCCAAGTGGATTAACATGCAAGAATATGATGGACTTGTAAATGCAGATGCCCAAACTGCACCATCCACAAATGTAGACATTGAAATATCATAATACACAATTAATCCTTACCCATTCAATGTATCAATGGTAGCATGATACTGCCTGATCATTTACATGGTTTCTTCATGCAGCCATATTGCAAAGCACTGCCAGCAAGCTGCATCACTAGGGGCCAGCCATCAATATGTGCAGCTTCTAAGCAAAGCAAGCCTGCACAGCTTGAAGGGGAGGTGCCTGATGGCTGGGACAGGTGCTGGGAGCCATGTGTAAGCTGAAACCACCCTGAGAAAGACAGCAGGATGGTGAAACGTAAGAAAAAAGGAGAGGGACTGGTCCGACGTTCAACAAGAACATAGCTGATCTCCCATATAAACCCCACCTCCCACCATTCTCCTTATGTCCTGCAATTCGCCTTTTTAAGTCATTTAATGAGGGAACAGGGAAAATTGATGTGTGGAATGCTGCTGTTGTGGTGTCCACAACCGTCCAGAAGACATTTGATAAAGTGGAACACAGCAGGCTAGTCAGCAGAGTTAGAGATAGTAGGAACTGCAGATGCTGGAGAATCCGAGACAACAAGGTGCAGGGCTGGATGAACACAGCAGGCCAAGCAGCATCATAGGAGCAGAGAGGCTGACGTTTCGGGCCTAGACCCTTCATCAGAAAAATGA